GTCAGGCAGGGCCCCCGCCGCACTCGCCTCCGGGGAGCGCAAGCCCATTGGAGACACCCCACACAGCAGCCTGCACTGGCCAGGATTCCTTGTACTCCTGTCCCAGGATGATCCCCTGGGGGCTTCCCTGGGCCCCCACACCCTCCCCTACCAGCCCTCACTTTACCTGTCCTAAGGGGGAGTATGGTGGAATGAGGGGTCTGTACCTGTCCTGCAAGGAGGTGAGCAAACTCCCCACCTCTGCTGGCTTGTTCTTCCTCGTGGGGCAACCCACAGGTCCTGGGGGACCACCACTGCCCTGTGTCTTTAAGTGCCCAGGACCCTCCTGTGACCCCACTTCCCCCATGACCTCCGGAGCCTGGCACTATGATCCAACACTGTCTAGTATTCCCCAGAGAAGGGTCTGGGTCCCCATAGACCTCTCTGAATGCTGGATCTCCAAAGGATTGTTCCTTTGGGGTATCCCCCACCCTGCCTGGCACAGCTCTCTTCTGAGCAGGGTCCTTCAGAACCTTGCCAGCCCCAGCTTCCCAGCAGAGGCCCAGGCTTTGGACTTGAGGTGAAGGGCACAGAGAGCAGGCACTGGCCAGCCTTTCAAAGTCTGCATGTGGTCCCCAAGAACTCTGACAGCTCAAGGCCTCTGAAGTGTTCAGGATGGCCAATACCAGGGCCCTGGGCGCTACCCTCTCTTCTGCACCCTCTGCTAACTCTCCCCCACCCCCACCCCCGCAAAGCTTGAGTTCAAAGTCTGTCCCAGGAACTGTTCCTAGGACTAGGATTTGGAATTGGAAGCCCCACCCCAGCCTGTACACCCTCCTCCAGCCACTCTGCCTCCAGCTCTCCAAGTCTCAAACGCATCCTCCCAACCTGTCCCTGGCCCCAAACACCAGGACTCCACACCGTGGTCTTTGTACTGCATAGGATGTGACTAAGCCTACAAGGAAGACTGACCGAAACCTGGTTCCGTATCAAGGGATGTAACTGCCTGGCACCGCTAGAGGGCACCGTCCACTGCTGTGTGTCTGGCTACACGCAGGGAGGGGTGTACCTAGAGAGCCCAGGCAGGCAAGGAAACAGGCTCAGAGGTAAAGTGAAGGCCCCAGGTTGGAGTCAGTAAGGAGCACAGCCCAGGACACAGGACTGTGGCCCACCCCACTGTCCTGCGCCCCCATCCTGTGGCTGTAGCCTGGAGCATGGGGTCCCAAATGAGAGGCTAGAACACATATCCCTGTGTAATAAGGGCCCAGGAATCCTGAGTCCCCTCCCAGCAGGCCTGGCAACCTCCCTGCTAGGGGCCAAGCTCTGCCACTGCTTGCTATGCAGCCCACTGAGGCCAGGGAAGGAGGGAGACCAGCTTCCAGGGTTGTAAGTCTACCTACCCTTTGGGGTTAGGGCCACATTCCCTCTGGCATCTATAGCCACTGCATGGCCACATCACTTTCAGGTTACCCCCTGACACCCCCTCTGCTTCTGTCACCTGACACCCCCAGGCCTCTGTCCCACAGGGTCTCCCCCTGCTCTCGGTGCCCTGCCCCACATGGGTCTCACGGGTCCTATTGTGTAATGACACATTGCCGGTCAGCACTGTGTCCCGTGGTGCATTAGAACTGTCACCAAGACTTCCAGCTCTCCTCGCCCCTTGGTGGGGCTGCACCTCCGGAGTCAGGGGCCTCAAGATGTCAGCAGCGGTGATCTGAGTCCCTAGGAGATGTTTCCTTGCTGCCTTGGGGACAATGAAGCCTCTCATTCCTGGGCCCCGAATGGATGAGATGACCTTCCCAGGCTTCCCGAAAGGCCTGCACCATATCTGCTGATGCCCCTCAGAGCCTGAATGCCAGTGAATAAAAGGTCTCCAAGAACTACGGCTGTTTCTTTATCCCCTCCCCCCCTAGGAGTGGTAGCCATGTCTCTGTCCCCCATCTGAGTTCTCCAACCCCACCCGGCGCACATGCAGGCTGAGACGCCCCCACCCATCAGAACAGCATGGACCTCCGGGGAGACGGGTCCCTGCAACACCTGGACACGGCTGTATCTGGCAGGTACGAGGTGCTCTCCAGGGGTCAAATGATGTGACAGGCGGCAGGCACAGCAAAGGTGTCAGGGCCCCTCAGGGCTTACGGACCAGCAGCAGGGCCGGGTGGCTTCACAGCACTGCAACACCACACTAGAGCTTGTGGTCCACAGTGAACAGGGCTCCTGACAGCTGCGCCCAGGTCTCCCCCATCCCCTCCCTGCTCTGCTCTCTCATCTCTTCCCTCTCCTCTCCCAATTTCTTTCCCAGCCTCTCTCTCTCTCTTCTAGGTCTCTCCTCTCCCTTTCCTCCTTTCCCTCCTCTCCCCCCAAATCCCTCCTCCTACCACCCCTCTCCCCTCTCTTCCAGGGGCAAACCTGGGGTCCTGCACATGGGCATCCCAGTAGATGGGACAGCCGGAGACCACCTGCTCATCAAGGGCCCCTGCAGCTGACCTGGGGCTGGGAGGGGCTGGAGTCCAGTTCTGCCCCCTCTGTAAGTCTCTCTGTCCAGCTGTAGTGGGTCCCTTGACTGGCAGATGGTCGCTCGGGTGGTGGGGGCACATTATCTGAGTCCACATCTCAGTGAGGTGGGGTGAGGGGGGAAGGGGCCCAAGTAGGAAGTAGCCACTGCTGCTGCCACCGGAAGCGCTTCTGGGAAAGAGAGTCGGCCTGTGGGCTCTTATCTGAGGCTGAACAAAATATAGGAACTCTGACCCTCTAAGGGGCAGGGCAGGGTCTGTGGTTTTCCGGAACAGATGAAGAGCTCCTCCTGTAAGGTGGGGATTTCCGCAGCAAGAAGTGAGGAGCCTGGAGCTGGCCTGACCGAGGCCAAGTCGCAGCTCGTGTCCTTGGCTGCCAGGCTCTGTGGAGGGGCACTTACCTGACCTCCCTCCCCCAGGAGGTGGAGAGTTGGAGCTGGTCTCTGCTGACCGAAAGGGAGAATGGGGGCCTCTCCACAGCACCTAGACTCAGCACCCAACTCCCACCCCCTTTCCCCACCGCAGCAACGCTGTCCTGGCAGTCCTGGGCACTGTCGCCAACTCCCACCTCCATTGCCTGCCCCCACTGGCCTTGGCCTCCCCTCTGTGCAGTCGTGCCTGGGGTCCCCACCTGCCTCCAGCCTCTGCCCTTGTCCCCAAGGGCTTGGCACAGGGTGCTCTTTAGAAATGCCAGCGGCTGCACCCCACGAACACATGGCTCTGCCCCAACCACTTCTCACCCCTACGTGACAGCTCACCCAGGTGACTCCGCCCAAATCAAGTCGCACAGGGTGGGAGTGGGACAGGAGTGCGAGTGTGGTGGGGTAGTGGGAGACAGGGACCAGAGTTGAGGAAGGAGGGAGAGTGGGGAGAGGGCACTAGGGGACCCACAGAACTAGTGGCTCATACACCCCTCCCAAGTCCCTGAGTTCCCTGGGCCACCCCTAACCCTGACTCCACCACTCATCCTGCCCCGGCTGCAGAATCCCCCACCCAGCTATGCATCAGCACCCCCCACCCCCGCGCTGACGTTTGGGCACTGACGTCTCTGCGCCACCGCCCCACGCAGGGCCGCCCACGAGGAGTTTCCGCGCTGACTCAGCCCTGATACCTGCGCACAGGCAGGCCGTGGTGTTTTCTTGGGAAGGTCCCTGACAGCTGTGAGCAGCAGTTGTCATGTGTGAGTGTGTGTGTGTTGTCCATGTGGGTGGGAGGGGGGGGAGGCCGGCCAAGGGACCAGGGTCATCAGAGCCCAGGAGAGCTACTTCCTTCGGGAAGGTGGTGAGCCTTTGGTTGGCACTGGACACCTGGCCTGAAGACAAGGGAGTGGCCAGTGGGTGTGACAGGAAGGTCCCTAGATCCTGGAGCCTCTTCCTGGAATTGCCTGCAGGCTTGGCGGCACTGTTTTCCCCTCTGACGCCCAACCAGCCCGCAGGCACTTGCGTATGAGCTGTTTACTGGCAACTGTCTCACACGCACCCAGGCCCCCAACAGGAACGTGGGGCTCTGGGAGCACTGAGAGCTTGGGGCCCAGTGGGCACAAGGGGGGCTGGATGAAACAGTTCCCACGGGAGTGGAGTCTGTGAGTAGGGCTGCCGTAGCTCGCCTTCCCTGGTAGAAGTTGGCTGCTACCATCAACTCATCCCCGGTGTCCCTAGTGGCCCTTGAACACTTCATATTCTGGGTCATCCCGATGTCCCTGCCCACATCAGACTGTAGCTTCTCCTTTGGTCTCTCCCACGTGAGCCTGTGTGGTGCCTGGGAACCCTCACAGACCCCTTCTCCTCTACCCGCCGGCTGGGAGCTGACTGGGAGGAGGGAGTAGGGGGAAATAAGAGAAGGGGGGGCCCTTGTGGGGGTTGCTGGAACGCTGGGGCTGAGGCAGGTGTGTCAGAGCCTTCCAGCTGCTGCTGAAACTGGTCTCTACTGGCCTGCCTGCCACTCCTGGGACAGCTGCGCCAAGTCTTTATCAGATCTCACCAGAAGCCAGCCGCTGCCACTGGGAGGACGCCCAGCTGGGTGGGACCCCAGAGCCATGCCCTGAGGAAGTAGGATGCATGAGGTGAGGTGGTAGAGACAGCAGCCCGGCTTGGAGAGCTGAGCCAGGCCACCACTCTGAGGCTGCCCCTCCTCCAGATGTCATGTGTGGAAACTGACCAAACCCTGAGCTTGGGGCAGAGTGAGGCAAGGGCAGGTACCAGCGGCCATGTAGCCAGAAACCACATCTCCACAGGCATCCCAAGCATGGTGGCCCCAGATATGGCCATCCCCGCATGTGCAAGGCAGATAGGTGGGGGCAGGGGTTTGTGTCCAGAGGTCCAGAGGGTGGGCGGACACTCAGCACAGCTCCCCTCCTCCGGGAAGCCTTCTGAGTCTCATGGCCCCTGCCGGACGCTTGTGCCCAGGACTGGAGGGGCTCCCTGCCTGGGTCCCACCCCTGCCCCAGCTAGAAGCTCTGAGGATATGCCTTTTTGTACCCTGTGAAGGCGACTGTGGGCAGACATGAGTAAGGTGCCCCCAAACCCAGCCCTGAGCCCTGTCCCCCTCCCGTCCCCATATGCATCCACTCAGGTCACTGGACAAGTGTTTATTAAGTGCCGCCTGCCGTCGGGTCCTGTGTCAGACACTGTATGCCCACCAGTCTTGGAGATGAGGGGCCCACAGACTCCACCTCAGCAGGGCCAGCAAGGGAGGGAGGCAGCTACAGCCTCATCTGTCTCTCCCTTGGGGCCCAGCTACGGTTGCTGCCCTTCTATGTGGTCCAGGGGACTGGTCACTGTCACCATCCTACACCCACTTCCACCGCCGTGGGGAGCAGGGCCGGACCCAGAGCTGGACGTGGAGCTTTTGCACCAGAGGCTCGGCCTGGGTGACAGCCTGGGGAGTCTGGCTCGAGGTCTTGTTGTCCCAGTGATGGCCAGGCCTCACACCCACAGGTCCCCTGGCCGGCCTTTCTCCTCTGCCAGCTGCTCCCCTCGTTCTTCCTCAGGGAACTGGCAGCTGCAGGCGTCTTCAGCTGGTGGCAGTGCCTCCAGGAGCAGCTGGGTCTCTGCAAGGGGGCAGTGATCAGTTTGAATCTGGGGACCCACCTCCCCCACCAGGGTACAACTTACCTTGAGGCCACACACGCTGCCTCCTCAGCTGCCAGATGTGCAGGCCGAGCTGGGCCGCAGTCAGGATGAGGATGCAGGAGACCACGGCCAGAACAATAGCCAGCTGGCCGCGCTGCCCAGCAGGCAGTGGCTCCGGGATGCACACAGCATTGTGGGTCTTGTTCCCGGGGAACATGGTAAGAAACCCAAACTGGGAGCAGCTGGGATGCACAGACACAGACTAGTCAGCCTCTGGCACCCGAGCAGCCCCAGCTCAGAGGCTGCTATTCTGAGTTGTTTGGGGGTCACCAGAGGGTTTGGGGGGCCACCACACTAAGAAGGGCAGAAGAGGCCTCCCTCCAAGTGGGCCAGGACTGCCTGGGCTACTAGAAGGCCCCACCCAGGACTCACTTTGCCCACGGTCTGCAGTGGCCCTCGCGGCCCGCAGAGAAGGTCCCTGCTGCACAGTCGACACACTCGAAGCCAAATTTGATATATCCTGGGGACAGACAGACAGGCTGGGGGTTTGCTAGTGTGGATGAAGAGGACAGCAAGCTGGTGTAGGTCCATCTGGAGTCCAGGTCCATGGCCCACCCTCCTCTGGCATCATCCACGTGGCACCAGTGTCTGATGCCCACAGCACAGGGGACCTGGGTAAACCTGCCTGGCTGTGCCCATTCCAGGATGGACATCTGGGGGACGGTAGTGTTGGAGGGCCTAGAGGCTATGACTCCTGGGCTGAATGGAGGATCCCTGGGGGCCCTAGGGAAGACAGTAGTGTGGGTGGAGCCCAGGAAAGGGACCTGCCCTTTGAAGGCTGGGGCCACCAGGAGCAAGTAGAGGCAGAGGCAGTGGGTGCCAGACCAGGCCTTAGACTTGGTCCGGGAGCCTGGCAGACGAAGGACCCTGGAGAGAGAGAGGGTGAGGCTGGTGCTGGCTGACTCCGGTCTCTGCTCTATTCCCTGTCATTCCTCACAGACCCCTCCTCCATGCTCAGCCTGGCTCCTCCCTTCAGGTAAACAGGCTCTCAAGTGGATCTGAGCAGCTCCTTCCAGAAAAGGGGTCCATCCCCAGACCCCAGGCAGGACTCCTGGGGACAGGGCTGGCTCTATCCACCTTCCCCTGTGCAGATGGACAGAGCAGGTGGAGGACCTGGGCCATAGTCAGAGCCGGGGCCTGAAAGCAGGACAGCCCCTGGACAACCCCCGCCACCCTGCC